CCTCGGGGTGCTGGTTGACTGCAGGCTAAACATGAGTCAGCAGTGTGACGCGGTGGTCAAGAGGGCGAACGCCACCCTTAGTTGCATAGCCAGAAGTGTGGCTTCTAGATCAAGAGAGGTATTACTGCCACTCTATACGACTCTGGTGCACCCACAACTGGAATATCGTGTTCAGTTTTGGGCCCCTCATTACAGAAAGGATATAGCCAGGTTAGAGTCAGTGCAATGTAGGGCCACAAGGTTGGTGGCCGGTTTGCAGGGGATGAGGTACAAGGAGAGACTGAGGGAACTGAGTCTCTTCAGCCTGGAGAAGAGGAGACTCAGAGGGGATCTGTTGGCGACATACAGGTATGTGAGGGGGTGTCAGAGGAGGTGGGGAGAGACCTGTTCTCCCCTGCAGAGGAAGAGAGGACGCGCTCCAACGGAGCAAAGCTCAGGGAGCCAAGGTTCCATTTGGATGCCAGGAAGCACTTCCTGACACTCAGGACCCCGAGGGTGTGGAATGGGCTTCCACGAGAGTAGTTGAGGCTCCATCGGTGCGGGTGTTCAAAGATAGGCTGGACATGCACATGGTGGGCATGTCGTGAGCGGAGCTGGCTGGAGCAGACTAGATGGCCCAGGAGGTCCCTTCTGACTCGCTCTGTTTCTATATTTCTATGTTTTTAAGTCATATTCAGCAATATACACCTGGTCTCACCATTGCTGATCTTTTAGGGGCTTTTCTATTTATATCCTTGAAGTGGTCTCGTTAAAGTCCTCCCCTCAAATTCAGATAATTATACATGATATCAAACAGTTTGCTAAAACATTCAGGGAATATCCCTGAAAAGTCATTACTGAGCCCATGTTAATCAAAGCCATTACATTCTCCTTGTATTTTCCCAGTAGAGTCAGAAACCATTTATCAGGTTCAGTAGTACTGCACTGGGATGAAAACAAAAGATGTTTATGGATGAACATAAAGAGAAAACTTGTTTATGTTTACTGCCTGTTTAAACCTGGCTGGAGCATCTCCCGCCAGTTTCTTGTCAGCTGATACATATTTCTTGCTATCAGATGCTTTTTTATATAGAAAAGCTGCCTCAGTGCTCCCTTCCTTTAGTATGGAAAGCACTTTTTTCTGTTTGAATTCTGAAGTCCGTTGACATGCTGTTTAAGCATGAAATAATAGCAAATAAATTGTTTGCCCTTGTGTTTATAGAAATCCACCCCTTTTTTCAAAGAATATTGGTTTCTATATAAATCAAAATAAGTCATAGGTGTAAGTACATTTCAGACCACCACCATGGTGTCTCCAACCCTTGCAGTAAAGCAAGCAAGAGTCCCACAAACTGGGAAAAGCAAAGGAAAAAAGGTGAAATCTATCCCAAACAAAATTTCTAAAGCAATAATAGGAGAAACTCCTCAGCTCCAAACAAGATAACAGAGCTATGGGTTGAGGGAGGAGCATCCCGGAGTTTAAACCAACAATAAAGTTAAAATGGGTTGCTTGCTCACTCTGTGTGGTCATAATTCAAGGTTTAAACAATCCACCATTATTGTGATGGGTGAACCAGATCAATAAGCATAACTGACACACTCTGCTACAGCTAGCCTTCAAAGGTGTCTGGACACAGTTCAGAATGGAGCACTTGGCTTTAGCTTCCCACCTTGGTGCTTTGCAACCCATTAGTCTCCTGGTTAATTTTAAAGTCTTGAAAGGTCAGGAGGGGCAGGGTTTCTTACAGACATTTACAGATGTTCAAGATCCCAGAGTTAAACTGCTGTATTGTATACCAAATTTTCCTGGTTCCAGAAGAAGAGATGCTTGCATGCAACTGTGGTTCTTCAAGTAGTCATCTGTAAACACATATATGGGTTTTGCACTTGTGCAGAACCATTATTCAGAACATTGAAAAGTTCCACCACCACCTCTAATCACTTTCCAAACATGGTTCTTGCTTTCCTCTCCGTTTACACTCTGCTGCAGTAAAGAAAGATGAAAAGCAAGGCAACAAAGGGTGGAGGAGATAGGATTGTGTGAGTTCACAGAGGACCGCTTGCAGAACCACAGTTACAGGTAAGCAACTTGTTTTCCTCCTCTGTGACTCACATGTGGGTGATAATCAGTACGACTTACCAGAGGAGGGAGTTGTCATGCAAGGAATAAAGAGAGAACAATGTGTGGTAAGGCCTGATGAATGGCTGAATTCAAGTGGTCAGGCAGGCCTTTGAAAAAGCAGCTGAAGAAGCTGTGGCTCTGGTTGAATTGCTCTTCAGTTGAAGGGAGCCAGTAAATGTACACTTGGTGAGTGAGGTGTCTGGCCAAATTTGGTGGGATACCAGGGTACCAGGACCGTAGTGGCAGGAAAAGAAGTGAGAGGTTTGCCAAAGGCAGAAGACAAGGAGTGCGGGTGCCCTGCATGCATCCAGTAAACAAAGTTTCACTTTGGCTGGAGAAATAGAATGAGGAAGGAAGGTGATAAAGGTGCTGGTTGGCTAAAGTTTTCAAGATATTTCACAATAAATTTATACACAGGCAAGTATATTTGCCTACAAGGGAGGGAGGTGCCTGATGATCATGATGCCTTGTAACTTCTCAACAAAGTACAGTAGAACAATGAACATGGTACTGTTAAAAACACTCTTTCCGTCGGAAGAGAAAAATATTCCAGGCATGCAGAGAGTTCTTTTTAAAACTTTATTGCAAAGAAGGGAACAGAAAGGAACGGTTTCCTTCCCATCCTTCTGTTCACCTGAGCACCTGTTCACACACCCTTTTGAACCCTGCTCCCGGCCGCTTGTTCCCTCCTCCTTTCCCCTAATTGGCTAATAGGGCACTGAGAGGGACACTCTTTCCGCCCGCCTGCTCCGCGCTGCCCCAACACCGGCCCTTCTTCCCAGTCCAGCCCTGCCCCCGGTGGGCTACAAGAGGCTCATCTTGTTCTGCCCAGCTTGTCAGTAAACAATCAGGAAGTATTTGGCCCTCCTGCCTGTGTGCCGGCTCTCTCACACTCTGCGTGCCCCCTTCTTTTCTTGCTGAAAAGGGAGCTTTCTTGCTCCTCCTTTCTTTCTCTTTTCATTCCCCTTATTCCAAATCGCCTCCCCCACCCTTTTCCTATCAGTACCACATGGAAGTGTATAAATTTATCTTCTCTTTGAGACTAAAGATTATTACCTAACTGCGACTAACAACAACACATCTGTCTTGGTCAGATCTACACATCATGAAGTTAACATCTGGTGGCTTGTGAAAGTGTCATTGCCTAACATTTCCAAGGAACAGTTGTGTGATATTTTCCCTCAGAAACCAAGATGCTTGTATAAACAACACAGATATCTTCTGTTACATTTGTGGCGAGGTTACATTTGCACCTCAAAAGTGCCATATGATGGCAATGGTAAAAAAGGCATACCACCTATAGTTTGGATGCAAAATAGGGGATCAGGACAAGAGCTGGGCCCCTCATTATCGTTGCATTACATGTATGACTTACGTAAAAGTCCATGCCTTTCGCAGTCTCAGTAGTGTGGAAGGAACCCACCAATTTTGACCTGAAGCTGTATCTCGGAAACGAGCCAATTAATATTCAGGACTTAATTTTCCTTTATTAGTGACCTAATTCTGGTAAAATTTAGCTCTTTTCATTTCTGAGGCTTTCTCCTTGTAGACCAGTGTACTTGGGGGGCAATTGGTTCTGAGCCAGATGGCATGGCTGTGGGAGAAGTGTTCTTGTTACACATTTGATACCAAGCCAAGAAACTGGGCATCATTCAGAAAGCTAGGATAACATGGAATTTGTCGTTTTCTTGATCAGCGTTGGTACATACAATGTTCTTTTTCACACTGTCCTAGCCAGGGATAGCTGGATCAGAGTTGGTGAGTTTGAGGTCAATGTAGGTTTCTTTTTGATGAGTTGGCCTTTTGCTTCTTGTTTATATGTCCTGGAGTCTGCTTGTTTGTGGATTGATTATTTTAAGATGTGGTCTGTTTGACTTGCTTGGTTTTGACCATAGGCCCTGAAGGGCTGATGTCAAGCTGTTGGTCCGGAGACTTGGCTGAAGTTGTCACTGCCCCTGAGGCAGGAGACTGACACCCAGAAGTACTCTCCATGATGTTTTATGGGAGGACTCATGTCAAGGTTGCACCACAGAGTTCTGCTGTCTTGCAGAATTCACACTGAGCAAGTAACTATGGCATTTTGAACTTGGACAGTCACTTGGAGGCAACTGTCATACAAACCATGGACAGCCATCTGAGTGGGATGTGTAACTTGGTGTCCTGCAACAGCAGGGGGTTGAACCCAATAGCCTTTGTGGCCCTTTCAAATCTAGTATTCTATGATTCTATGAAACACATAATTACAGAAAGCTGAAGGACACTTTCTGTAAATGGTAGCCAAGATAGTATGCAAAACCCGAGTTTGTATATCTGTGTCTGCTACCTTCTGTGTTTGCTGCCTGAGGAAAGCTCCGTAACACGTAGTTCTGTTCACCTGGCCTGCTTGATGAAGATCTTGCAATGGGAGCAGCAATTGTTTTTGTAGGGCTTCCTGAGGCACACCAGTCTGAGTGTCTTTTGGTTGATGGTCATTTCCTCCTGCAATGAGTACTTTTTTTTGAAAAGGACCTGGAGGTCATGTGCCCTGTGGGAGTGGAAACGGGGGGGGGGGGGGCAGAGAAGAAAGGAAAGAAGAATGAAGATAGAAGGTTAGGAAGAAGTCATAGAGGGGCCAAGAAGGTTTTGTTTGGTTGGTTTATATGAGCTGTGAGGTAGGAGAATAGCAATGCTGCTTGTTGCTGCAGTAGATGAAGAGGAACTGAGAGACAAGTGAGAGCCTCAACTGGGGCAGGCGCAGAGGAGATGGGTGAGGCTCCTGTTCAAGGCTCTGCCTCACTCTAGGATGTTCCACACATAGGCTTGTAACCAGTTCACGTGTGTTTCAGAGAACAACATGAAGAAATAGTAGTTTAATGTGCTTACATAAATAATTTACAACATATAAACTTCCTAAATATAGGACCAGTTTTATAGAACATGAAGTCATCCCAGCTCTGGCCCAGCTTTTGAATGACCCTATTGATATCTGTCGGTGGAACATGCATTATGCATTGAAACTGATGTCAGAATTGCCTGCAGGTAGGATGAATTACCTTTCAGATTATTTATAATACAGAATACTGTATTTCTTTCTTCTTAGCACTCTTCAAAATTATAATATGAATATATCTGCCATTTTGATCCTAATATTTATGCTAATGACATGGTATGTGTATATAGAAAAACATCTCATAGCATTTGGGCCTTCTCTGAGTGATTGTGATATTGGATGTTTTCATTTCACTTGGTGCTAAACATAAGAATATTCCTAACCCAGACATTCAGCAGTGGAACAGATTATCTTGGGAAGTGAATTATTTGCTGGAGATATTTAAGCAGAAGCTGGATAGCCATCTGTAAGGGATACTGTAGCTGGACTCTGCAGTGTACAGCCTGCATTGAACAACAGGGGAACTAGATGATTAGATGCCAGGAAGCATTTCTGACAGTTAGGACCCCGAGGGTGTGGAATGGGCTTCCATGAGAGGTCGTTGAGGCCCCATCGGTGCGGGTGTTCAAGGATAGGCTGGACATGCACATGGTGGGCATGTCGTGAGCGGAGCCGGCTAGTGCTGGAGGTCCCTTCTGACTCACTCTGTTTCTATGCTTCTATGTCTCCTCTGACTCTGTTTTTCTAAGTGCAATTAATTTATCTTCCTTTTGCTGAGTTCGTGATATAAGCTAGACATTCCAAGTTCAGCTCTTCCCTGTGGTCTTTAGACAAGCCACTCAACTTCAGCATCTCACCTGTGTTTTAGGGGTAACAATAGTGGCCCATCTTGTTATTGTTGAATGAATTAGTGAATTTGTATAAGTCAACATGTTAACAGATTCTTTAGTTTAATCAACTCTACACTCTTGTATCCATTATATTTTATTGCTACCTGTTCACAAATCCCTTTCTTGCCACTTCCTCCATCTACAATTTTTCAGGACCTCCATTTCTTGCTCCACTTTCCCCCAATAGTTTTCAATTTCAATTTTCTGTTCCTATGTTTCTAATTTAGATCATAGGCTTCTTAGAAGCAGACAATTTTATTTTGCTTCTGTTTCTGTGCAAAGTGCTAGCTCTGTATTATCATGAGTTTGTATCTCTCTTCCCCAGCCTCTCTTCTTTTCCCTTCCATGCAGATAATGACAAGAGGAGCTTGCCAGTCAGGACTGGCTTGTGGTACAAAGAGAATAATACAACGATCATTAGCAAGAAGCATTTATTGTGTTAATACTCTCTAACTGTGGAGGTTCTTCTAGCCCATACCAGGAATTGATTCCAAACCTAATTCCCCTCCTCCTTCCCCCATCAAATGGAGTTGGCTCCACCCTTAGGGAGGTTAGTGCTGCTTGTGGCCAGGAGGCAGGAACACTGGATACTGCTTAATTGGTTTGTTTATTTGACCTGATGTTGAACTATAGCTTGATAAAGTCACACCCATTGCCCTCTGACTCTTATTCTTCACCACGCAAAAAACCAAAGTAGGTTTCTCCTGTTCTCATATCCACAGATCTGCAAATGAAACTGCCAGCTGGGTCATTTTTTTAATACCTGAAATTCCTGCCTTTAGACATGGGAATGTGAGTTGTAGGGAGGTATTACTCAGCCATAAAGGAAAGGCTCTTTGCATATGTCTCGTTTACTGGTTTGTGCTTGACTGGTTTACTCTTTTACTATATGCAGCTTTTAGGGCCTGCCGCAGAAAATACAATCAGCACTTGTGCTGCAGTTTGGGGTGAAGTAAAGGTAACCTGAATGGGTGTGTACTTGCCAGTCCATCACTTTACAAGGAGGTTACATGTTCCACAGTGTCTTTCCCTGAACCAGAGGCAGTCTGGCTCTCACCAGCCATTTGACTTACCTCAAAGCTCAGAACCTTTGCATTTCAGCCCCACCTTTTCTTACAATTCAGATTCAGAGTCTGAAATACCCACCTTGGAATTCTGTATTTTGGGAGAAGTATGCCCAGTCCCTACAGGTATACTAACAGCATTGTATAACAGCATTCTTCAAGTAATCATCCCTGGACCTGGAATATTTTAACTTTAGGCCAGTGGCAAATGTTATCTTCCTGAACAAAGACCTTGAGCAGGTGGTTGCCAGGCTCTTGGATGAGACCAATTACCTGGATCCCTTTCATTTGGGGGTCAGGCCTGGTTTTGGCACAGGAACAGCCTACATGATGACTTATATTGGGAGAGAAAGAGATAGGGGAGTGTGTCTCTGCTGATCTCTCAGTGGCTTTCAGTACCATCAGCCTTCTGGAGCTAATGTCTGAGCTTGTGGTGGTATTACTGAATTCCTGGGCTTTCAGGCCTACTTGAGGGATTGGCTCCAGAAGGTGCTTGCAGTATATTGCTTGGCCTTGTGGATTCTCCAATACTGAGTTCTGGGGGGGATCAGTTTTGTCACATGTTATTTAGCATCTATATTAAATCATTGAGCAAAGTTATTAGGCATTTAGGAGCACATTGCTATCAATAGACTTATGTCATACAGCTCTAAGGGGTACATGGCCTCTGAAGGAACAAGTTCATAGCTGGAGCTGTTGTAATTCTTGAAGCTTAGCTGACCTCAGGGTGGGCCTTGTATCAGCTTCAGTTGGTGTCGTGAGGCCGGAGCACTCTTCCTAATTACTCACACAGGAACAGGCAATAAAGGTTTAAAGCCTTTTATTCTAAACAACTTCAAAGATACGCAGGCAATGAATAATACAGGAGCTGTTAATGGCAGTTCTAAGCAACACAGTTGCCCCCTCCTTTCTGACCTATCTCAGATTTATGACCACTCTTCACCCGAAGGGAACGCCGCTCCCCACGGGGGGGGGGGGCTAGATAAACTCCTCCCCCTCCTTCTTTGACCTTGCCTCTCTTCGAATTGGCTCAAACGCCAAAGTCTTCTCCTCAGCAGGGCATTCTCCATGGCAATGGGCTGTCCCACAGCCTGCACAGCTGCGTTATCTCCATGAAGAATGTAGGCTCTTTCTGGCTGGAGAAAAACTTCGTCAAAGTCGGGGGGGGGGTGTTTGTGCAATGGGCACCAAGTAGAAGTCTTCTTGCTCTAAGGCCTGACTCTCGCTGGGAGCTTCTCGTTCTCTCACAACTCCTCTGAGTCGTTAGGCACAACAGTTGGTGGCTCAACTGCACCCATATATAAGCAGGGATAACCTGTTTTCTTTAATGTATGCTTTGTTATCTTCCAATTGCAATGGGACTAGCTTCAAAGATTGTTCAGAAGCTGTAACTTGTGTCGGATGTGGGAGCAGGAATGATAACGGGGACCAGAAGTTCTGAATATATACCACCAAACATGGCCCACTAGTACTGGCTGCCGATACCTTTCAGGATGCTGGTTTTGACCAGCATTTGCATGACTTGAGACCACAATACATGATGGAACACCTCTACTGGTATGGACTTAGCCATACAGGTAGGTCATCCAAGGCTGTGGTCATCCTGCTCAAAGGATGGCAATAAGATGGAGGACTTTTCTGGTGGTGGCCTCCCAGCTTTGGAACACACTCCTCCCCTGGCCTGGTACCAGCTGTCATAGATCAACACCAAGTTAAGACTTTCCTCTGCTCCCAGGCATTTTCACAACATATGATAAACGGGGGCTGAGATTTGATTGTTAAAATGCTACATTTTTCTATAACAGTTTAATATTATGTGATTATATTGTATTTTGGGGTTTTAATCTTAGTATACCACTCTGAACAGCCTTGGCTGTTAGGTGGTACAGAAATTTAATAAATGAAATTATATATACATGATATATTTAAAAATACATCTCCTGAATCTCATGTAGTCAAGAGTGAAATTGTCTGTTGGGTTGGTTGGTGCCAGAATGTTGCAATTTGCTTTTCACAGCTTCTGCTTAGAGACAATTCACTGCTAATTCCTTCTGGGTGTGATCTGATTTCTCACAGCTAGGAAATTTCAGAATGAAAGTAAACCTGCCTCTTTCTTCCAACTACCAAAAGTTTCCCCACTTGGTCACCCAGAGGACATTTGTACCTACCACAGGCAGCCAGGCAAGCCTGAGTGAAATACAGAAATAGTTTCAGCATCCAAGATTTGTCTTAGCTGCACAGTGGCATACAGGTCTGCAGGAGAGATGGCTTGTGTAATGAACATACTTGCCTCTGCAAGTGGGGACATCTGCAAGAGCATCAAGCAGGTTTATCCTGAGACAGCTGCCCCTCAGACAGGTAGGCCTTAAGCAGTTCAGAGCCTTCGATTTAAGAGTGAGACTTTGAGTTGGGCCTGGAAAACAGCTAGCAGCCAGGACAGGATTGGGGGGATGTGGTCATGATGCAGCACAGCGTTTAGCAATCCAGCTGCAGCACTGGGCACCAGCTGGATTCTCATGTGTTTTCCCTTCCCCTTTTCATTTTAGATTGGGTAACCTCACTAGTGTACTATAGGAATGTTGTGGACTTACCCTACCTCGATTTCAGCAAAGCTTTTGACAAAGTGCCCCATGATCTCCTGATTAGTGAATGAGCTAAAAGTAGACTAGATGGAACAACAATCAGGTGAATCCACAGTCAGCTACAGGATTGGATTCAAAGAGTGCTCACCAGTGGCACTTTCTCAGCACTCTGGACAACCATCTGAGAGAGATGGTTTTACTTGGAATCCTTCACTGAGCAGGGGGTTGGACCTGATGGCCCTCTGGCCCCTTCTAACTCTACTATTCTATGAAGGGATTCTGTTCAGGGTTCCAGGCAATCCATCCCATCCCAACCGATTTCCCCATTCCCCCACCCCCACAACAGTCATCAGTTCACACCCACGGAGTATGCTCAGGTCTCATTGGCCATCTGGGGAAGGGTTTTCCCTTCAGTGTTGATGAGGTTGTATAGGATAGACCTGCATGAGTCCAGTCCCCACTGCATTATAATATTGCTTTCTCCATTGAGGTCGATGGGCAACCCACCTTTCCCTCCCGGGGGAAAATGGTTTCTCAGCTTGCACTTACTCTATTGCCCTGGCTGGGGTAAGACGTTGCAGTGATCCCAAGAAAATGATTCAGCCAGCTTCCA